CTATCGGCTTTTAGTCCCATGCCTCCTCAAAGCGCAGAATAACACTATCGTCTGGATGGACGGAAAAGTACAAGTCATCAAAAAGGTCAACCTACTTCTATTGACTGTTTTGACAGCTTTAAACTGCTCATCGAAGCAAATACCAACAGTGGTGTGCGTATGCGCGCGTGTGTATGTTTGTGTGAGATATATATACACACATACACACTGAAATCCTTATGTACGGAAGTGGATCATGCACAGTTAGGTAATTTTAAAGGATTGTATGGAAGCTGCAGTTATCATTTAGACGAAATCGTGAACTGCAACGGCTTATAAGAAATTGTTTAAGTTAAAAAGAAGTCTCAAAAGAAATAAATTCCTCTATTATGACACTGAGGATTATTTTTATGAGAAATAAGCGCAGTTACACGCAAAAGAAGCCTGTGGGACACACACACACACACACACACACACACACACACACACACACACACACACAAACATATTCATTCATTCATTTATCATTTTCCTGTTGTGCCAATGAATGCCACATATGGCTCGTAGACTATTCTTCCATTCCGTTCTATTTTGTGCAATCAGTTCAATATCATGGATGGAATCTAATTCAACAACTTTGGCCTTTCTTAAGAACGTTCGTCTTAGGGTTTCTTTTTTTTTGGCGTCCTCGCCTACTTAATCCATTTATTTTCCATTTTAATGTATGGTGGTGATTTTCTGCTGGTTTCTTCTCAAGATGTGTCCAATGTAGCGCCGTCTTTTTTGTCTTATAAATGTTAGCACAAGTGGTTGCCCTGAAAATTTCTCATATTTCTTCACTCCTTTTCTTCTTCTTCTTCGCGTTCACCAGCTGTAAACTCTGGCGGAAGGTTCTGGTTGCTCGTCTACTACTGAACTGCAGTCCTGCTCCAGAACCTGAGTGTTGTGTGTGCATCAGTTTTACAGATCTCATTCTCTTGAATACAGACTGTTGGTTCCTTGCCTCTCCGGCAGACGCACTCCGTCTTCAAAGGAAGCTCCCCAATTAGTTGACTCTTACAATATGCTTTTGGGGAGGCAGTGGGTCTATTCTTGTTTTCCCCATAATGGGGCCCCGGAACCCACACAGGGGTTCACTCCTTTTGAATTCATCCATTTTGTTTTCAGAAATTTCCTCGGACATTTATTTTCAAATGTTTTAACTTTCGTTCCATTTCATTAGTGGTTCTAAAACATTCACTTGCATGTTTACGTTAGGATTCTTGACTAGTTAAAGCTCTCGTCGACATACAACAATTATTCTCAGATAAGTTCTTTCAACTGTTTGTTACCTCAGCCGCGGGGTTTACATTAGACTGCTTCCACTCTTGTCTCAGCAGCATGGTTACTGGGTGACATATTTCCCCTACTTGTTTGCCATCACTGCGTGGTTTTCGAAGTCTATGAATCACTATGATAACTCGAACCAACAAGACGACACACAAAACAAATCACCGGCCAACTAATTCTGGCGGACAACCCCACTTGTTCTAGAAGCAAAGCCTAAGAGGTTGTTGTAGAGAGGAACGGGATGCGACACTATAGATGATAATATAAAAATCTCTACTTCAGACCTACAAGAGCTCCAACGATGTCATGGCCTATGTAAAAACAAACCGCCTCAAGCTGCCACAGTAATAAAACAAAAACAAAAAAGAGTTTGTTAGGCCTGACTAGAACCATATGCTCTAGCCCAGACAGATTTTTGTATACAGTCAAGATAGCAGTAACAGTAAACTAAGCACACTAACTCCAGATCCTAACTCTAATCAAAACAATCAGAACAACTGGTGCTATAATTACCACATCAAACATCTGTTTATTTTACTGAATCATAAAACTGAGCGCTACACAAATAACATTACAGTAACAATTAACATCGCTTTTACACACAAACTCATGTGCTAAGCACCTAATCTAGCACATATATAATTCACATAAAATCAGTATCTCCGAACGATGATCTACACTGATATATTTACCCACACAATTTATCTACTAGAGAAAATTCAGGGCTAACTATCAAAAAACGTACCACCATCATCATCAACGAGCCAGACTAAACGCCCATCCTAACGCAGTCGACTGAACACGTACTGCTGAGCGCATGTATCGCTGAGCTAGGTTTCTTAACCTTAGGGTTCGTCCGAAAAGCCAAAATGAGATCCTTTTCGGAAGCTCTGGTCTTTTTATGCTCAGTGACCAGGTTTTATTTTACAAGTGAAATCAAACTGAAATCAATAGCTGTTGTCGTACGGCTACAGTACGTACGTACATAATACTTACATGCATACATATACATACTTACACATACATACATGCACACATACGTACATACACACATATACATTAACACACACTCACGCACGAATGCACACACACACACACATGCATACATATATACACTCACACACACACACACATACACACACACACACACACACACACAATTTGTTTCTGCCTTCTGGTTTCAACCTTTCCATTTCTGATGTGTAGCCTTTACAATAGTGATGTCCCTAACTCTGCAACTCAATACGGTTTATCAAGGACAGAACGGGGGTAGCAGTTAACACTAGTCCGTTCAGATTTTTGGTTCCCGCCTAATTTACTTTAGTTCTTGCTTGATGGCAGCAAAGGAATGTCTGCCTCGAAGCTGGGTGATGAGGATATCAGGTTACAGATCTCATGTTTATCTGCACGCAGACGGGTACTACGCCCAAGGTTATCTACCCGTTCATAGACTACAGCCCTGCTGATGTTTTATGACACCTATGTGAGGAAACTATTTTACTGTCATTGTCTTTTGTTGGTTGCAAACTTTTAAGATGTACGTTTTCAAGAGTCGAATGCCAATATGTATTTTTTTTAAGCTGTCACCTGCAGGATGTGTCTATAAAGCATAGAGACTTTGGAGTTGAATATTAGCTGACGCAAAAACGTTCGTTGTAATGTTAAAACCCTTCATCTTCTTGAGCTGATTATTTAGGACATCTATTCGTTCAGTTCATTTTCAACATAAACATCACAAAACATGAACTCACGATTCTTCAAAGACGCATGCAGATGAGAGTAGGAAGGGAGAAACAGCAACGAAATCGTTAACAAGTTTGAACCCCCATAAGTTACTAGCATCGTGCGATCTAATATAATAAACTGTGATGGTTGGGGTGTATGGAAAGAATGGCAGATAACAGAAAAACAGAAACTGTTCATACAAAAGAGTTTAATGATAATAGATCCCAAGGCAGGCTAAGGAGAAGGTAGAGAGATAATTTACAGCAGACCTACATCTATCTGGTCACCAAATGCAGTGAGCATCATAAGCCAATCACAAGGATGCATAGCTATGGGTGATATTTGCAGCAAATAACTGCAAGGGATCGGAATACTGAAGAAGAAAAAGAAGAAGAAGAAGAAGAAGAAGAGGAAGAAGAAGAAGAAAGAGGAAGGGGGATGAGGAAAAGAAGAAGAAGAAGATTTATTTCACAATGGACAGACACTAAACACCACTGAGACAGACTTTCTCCATAAAATTTTTTTTTATTTCCGGTCACTTCCAATAAAAATTAGATTTTTTTAACAGCAATACAAGACCATAATACCACTGGGGTTGTTTCCTCGTCATAAGAAAGTCTGAAGAAGAACAGGCGTGTTGCAGACTGAAGTCGACAGAGGGAACAGATCCCAGATTTATTGGCAGTTCAGGCGATCATCGGTTTTCTAATCAAGATCATGGAAGACAGATTTTTTGTAAAGCCACGTGATCGCTTTCGCCACATGACACAATATGACGGCAGTTAACTATTTCAGTCCCCAAGCATCGCTTGAAATGCTACGACCCCTATAACCATGAGCCCCAGCTATTACACATTGCATTCAGTATCTGTTCAAACTTAGCCAGAAGATACTAGCGATTTATGGCTCTCGATAAGTATTAATTCGCTTTGAAATTCAGGTACTTATAATTTTTCATTCTGATTCAACAATCAAAACCTGACAAGCCGTCGCTGATCGTCCGCTAACCGACAAAACACCTAGTATCAAATGCCCTTAATTGTATCACTATTTTGATATTTTATTACATAACCTACATTATTACCCATCCCATAAACCAAGCCAGTCATACCCACAGCACCTTAGTATTTTGCTTTTAAAAGTTCAACTGAAGTTTCAGCGCCGAGGGATTGGGGGGGGGGGGGGGGGGACAGGGCAACATCTTTGTGAGCCCGCCATCTTAGGAAAACCTACATCTTGTCCGCTATCTTGGGGGAGCTTCCCATCTTGGATGAGGGAGCCCGCCAACGTGTCTGCTACCTTAAGAGAGCCCGCCATCTTAGCTATGGAAGCTTGGCATCTTTATGGAGCCCGCTGTCTTGGATGAGAGAGCCTGCATTAGTGTCCGCCCCATCTTGGGGGAGGAGAAGCCTGCATCTTTGATGGAGAATCCGCCATCTTGCGGAAGAAGTCCTCGCTATATACGCCATACTCAGCGGAGCGCCAGTTAGCCTATATTAATTATAAAAGTCATACACCATAAACCTAAACTACTAGTGGCCACACCTTACCAACCGAACACTAACTTAACAGCCTCAACATCACCGCTCCCCTGAGTTTGTACTATACAAAAGCAAGATGTACTTTGACCACCAACACTGATCACTACTGACCACCAGAACCTTAGCCTAACAAGCTGATGCGCAACCATATTGAAACCTCCCCTGCTGCGACGCACCTACTATATAAAAGTTATGCCGCCGTAATGCTCTTGAGGGACCAGTGCTAATCAGAATTAATAACTACTGATATGATTAAATATATAAAATGCAGCTTTTTAGTTAGTGCGCGTGCGCGCACACACATACAGATATACATATACCCCTTTCACACACACACGCATTTCAAACACACATTAAACGTTTGTATTATTGGCATATTTGTGTGCACTCTGTCAGTGTGAGTGATCAATTTCCTTTCCCTTTCAGGTCCAGGAGCAAGTGGCCAACTTGACGATAACCCTACGTACTGCTGTGCATAATAGCAGTAGACTTCAGCCAGAAGCTAGCCAGAATATCCCTGTCTACGTGGGCCAACGTCAGCACGTGCAGTATCTCAGCAATCAAGACTCAGCCACCAGCAGTCAGCTCGCAGATAGGATAGACAGCACCAGCAAGAAGTTCCAGCTTCCGTCTCAAGACATCCGACTTGCATATCCTAACGATGGATTAAATCCTGTCCCAAGATATCGTTCCCAAAACGACAAAAATCCTATCTTCTACCAAGAGGACAGAAGATATCCTCACTACCCCAATTATAACACAAATACTAATCGCTACAAAGAGGAAAATGTGTTAGACAATACTGGTAATGATTACATACATGATAATCAATTCGACAGTGCACTACAGAAACGCCAAGATCAAATTGATCCTAATCCTTTGGCGCACGAAAAATACAAAGATGAAATTAAGAGCAACAACACAGATTCAAAATTGAGTGAAAGAGAAATGCGTGATACATCTAATGACGAGATGGCTATCAAAGAAAACATCTTTCGTTCTGTGCCAGATGGAAGCATAAGGCTAGACAGAAGAGCACCAGAAAGTGCCGAAGTCTTGGGGAGCAAACAAAAGTTGTATCCTTCGGTGGTAGGAACTGAAAACGACCCAAAAGACATAAACAAGATAACAGGGAATGAAAGTGAACAGACTAACTTAGAGAAATATTTTCAAGAGAGGTTAAAGATGGCGGAAATTCTGAAAGGACAGTCGTATAAAACAGAATACGAGCTAATACCATTTAATAGGTTTATTTTCAACCGCATTTTCTTGGTAGATCCTGGGCTGGGCAAAAGAGTTGTGGAAAAACCTATAGGGTCAAAGAAGAAAGATTTGAATGAGATTCTATTTAATGCAGTAGAAACACTGAATACAAATCGCCAACAGAACAGTCAATACACGTATAATGACTTTATTGAAGGAATCTACCGCTCTGACCCAGCGACAGGTTCACAGTATGAACTGTTCTTTTCAAATAAAGATGATAAAGGCTTAAGGCACCTAAGATCTTACATAAAACTGACTCTCTTTCGTCCATTTGCCCCACCAATGGCAGTTCAGAGGACTGTCATCAATACAGCTTCTGAATGGATCAACATCATCCTTCCGTTGTCAAACCGCGTGGATACTTTCAAGTTGTTCATGGATCAGTTTGTCAGTGTGTGCATCAAGCGTGACAGGCGTATTTACCTCACCGTTGTCTACTTTGGAATAGAGGGGCTAAAAGAAGTGAAAGCCATCATGAGTCTAGTGGCCAAAACTCACAAGTTCAAGCACATGAAGCTAGTCACGTTAAATGAGACTTTCACTAGAGGTCGTGGTCTGCAGCTGGGAGCATTGAACTGGAAAGGCGGTGGAGACGTTTTGCTGTTTTTCTGTGATGTAGATATTGTTTTCACGTCAGATTTTCTAGAGAGATGCCGGCTGAACTCAGACAAGGGTCTGCGTGTTTATTATCCTATTGTATTCAGTCTGTACAATCCCAACATCGTGTACTCTTTACAAGATGTTCCACTGCCTTCAATGCAGGACCAGCTAATCGTGTCCAAAGACACCGGCTTCTGGAGGGATTTCGGCTATGGCATGGCGTGTCTCTATAGGTCCGACTTTCTAAAAATAAAAGGGTTTGATGAACAGATTACAGGATGGGGAGGCGAAGACGTTTTTCTCTATCAAAAATTTGTACGCAGTGAATATTTTGTGGTTCGCGCTACAGATCCAGCAATCTTCCACCTGTGGCATGAGAAAGTATGCGACCCGATGCTGAGCACTGAGCAGTACCGGAGCTGCATTCGGTCTAAAGCTCTCAACGAAGCTTCTCACGCACAGTTAGGTCTGCTTGCTTTCAAAGATGAAATAGATGTGCACAGAGGTATCAGTGAAAACAATAGCCTGCTCAATAAAGAGAAGAATGGCTAACATGTTTCTCGTGAACCGTTGAGTCTGCACTAATTCAGTAAACAAAGTGTTTCCCTTGCCATGCCCTGTCTTACTGAGTAAGTCTGTATATTTATTTATAAATGTCAACTGAGGCAAGAAACAACGTTTTTAAGAGTCACTCGTGATTACTGAAGTAAATCGTAGAGGATATTGGGAACCATTAGAACTGTAGTTGAAGTTGTCTTGAAAGAATTGAACAAACAAAGGGAACTGATTATCCTTATAAAAACTGAACATTCTGCTTTCGTCAACAAGTTGAGAGACAGGAAAAGCTAAACGTGGTGCTAACATGGAAGTTGAGAGAGAAGACATGGGGAGGGAGATAATGGCAGACAAGAACGGCTGCATTAGAAATAATTGACAGTACACGAGAAAGACAGTGGAGAGAGACAATCTCACATAATGGCATTTAAGAACGGCTCTATTATAAATGATTACCAGTGCACGAGAAAGTCATAAAAGGAAGACAATCCGACATAACGGCATGTAAGAACGGCTGTATTAGAATTGCATGACAGTACACGAGGCAGACATGGGAGGGAGACAATCCGACAAACTGGCAAGAAAGAGCGGCTGTATTAGAAATGTTTGACAGTACACGAGGCAGACATGAGAGGAAGACAATCCGACATAATGGCATGCAAGAACGGCTGTATTAGAAATGCTTGATTATACATAAGGAGGACAGTGCTAGTGGATACGATTACCACGACACACAACATGGACATTTATAGAAAGCGTATGCACTAACGCAGTTCTAACAATATTATTTCATTCATGTTCTCAAAATAAATACATTTCAATAGCTGAAAAAGGTGTCAGATCAAATAGCATAATTAAAATAAATGATAAAAACTTCCATTAAATTCAAAGTAACTACTAATCAATGTGTTTTCTTCATGTAAGGCGAAGCCGTCACAAGAGTGAAAAGCTTTTGTGACTTCAATGATCCACAACTTTCTTCAAGGAAAAAAGGATTAAAGCGAATTGATAAAAGGTCACGTAAAACATTTCGGGAACAAGGCTCTGGTTTTATCATGCCATGTTCTACACAATGTCTAGGTCCATGTCTGCGCAGCTTTCTATAATCTTGCAGTCAATACACAGATATCATGAAGTGGACATAAAGTCTACATCTGGAGAAAAACTATCGACGTCTATAAGTTGAAAACGTCCTTCATTCTAGCCCTCTTTGTACATCACCACATGAACACCAGCAGCGTTTGTGTATTTATCCCAGGATATGTGTTTTGACACCTACAAGTAAAGTGTCAGTTTTAAATATCATATCTCTTTTACGTCATCTCTTGTTATTCTGCAATAATATAAATTTTTTTCAAGGCATAGTCCGGTTCTAAATGTTAAATGTTGAATTAAGAATCGTCATCACAGAACTCAGAACACTCCCATAAGTGCTCCGTCCCCATCTTCGGCAGCAAGCGAATAGTTCCACTTCTGATGGCACCAGTACCGTCTGATTGTATATCCGTCTCATCCTTCCCCAGAGTGTTGAACGTCAGCCAGATCCGCTGGTAACTCCTGGCAACGCCATTCTCTTCAGACCGCAATGATCTGTTTGAGCCTCGGCACTGTTCACTCGTTCCCAAAGGGCCAACACAATATCTAGCTTGTCATACATCAATTCACCTCCAAGTGTTGCAGAGCTGGCCAGTCTTTCTGTATGCTCATTTCCCAACACACCGGGATTCTCTGGTTCTGTTCTCTATGTATGCAAGTGGGAGATTTCAAAGTTCCGAGTCATGAGATTGGGTAATTGAAGTATGATACTGTAATTGTATGTGCTTGGATACATTATCTTGGAGCATCAATTAACATACATACACACACACACACACACATATATATATATATATAATATATATATATATATATATATATATATATATATATATATATATATATATTTATATATATATATACATATATATAAATCAATGTTTGTGTGTTTGTTTGGTCTCTATAGACTCGAAAACGACTGAACCGATTTAGCTGAAATTTTCAGGATATGTTTGTTGTGATACCGGATTTTGAACCGTCGTGGTTTGAAATTCAACCTGTCACTGTTAGAGATAGGTGACCACAATTTATGCCAAAATATACGCAACTAATATTTATAACTATAGTGATTTCTAATTATAGCCACGTTAGTAATTGCGCATGCGCCTTATTTACCATTCGCCGCCGAGTTACGTGCAGCCAACGCCTTCTCTAATACTAATACATAGAGTAGGTCGTGGTACAGCAAACAAGACTATATATTTGCCACAATAACCATATTAAACACGATTTCTATTTTCTGTTTTTTTTCCAAACAACCTTCGATTGGGGGGGGGGGGCAATCGAGGACTATCTCGACGTCGGCGCAGACAGTGACTGCGACATTAACTTCATTAACCGTGTTAGACACGTGCGATTTCTATTTCATTAATATATCTGGAGTATCTGTCTACGAGAAAACAATTGCCTGCGGTTTTGAATTGTGTTTTAATCGCGACACAGTGGTAGGGACACATATGTCTAATAGTTGTGTTCTCTTTTCGTTGTTCCGATTAAGTGGCTGCTTGGTCGAATGGTTAGAACACTGGGTTCAAGTGCGGTAGACCTAGGTTCCAATCCGCAGTAGTTAAATTTTTTTTTTACCCTCGACTAAAATAATATCCTCATCTGCTCTGTCGTGGTGACAGCACTAGCCATGTTGCCTTAATATTTAAAAAAAAAAAAAAAAGTAAATGGGTAAACCATTTGATAATTAAATTTGACCATTTCGCATACTTATGATTGCATTGTTAAACTTTCCGATTGCATGGTTACGCTGGAATTTTTTAGATTTTCATTTATTTTCATTTATATTTAGTTATTTCATCTGTGTTGGAATTTTAAGCTGTGCTGTTTACAATGGCGTTCATTTCCTAATTATGGTGTTTTTTTTCCTGTGTTCATTTGCTTTTCAAGTGTTTTTTTTTTCTCCCAACTACTTCAATGTGGGAAAGAGTTGTCGGTGAATTTGGGGGGGGGGGGGAACTATTAACTGAGAGAGCTTCAAGTCACAGTAACTGCTTTACCCACTTAAAGTAGCAGCAGCAGTAATAGTTGTGGTTGGGCTGTTACACCATAGTGCTCTCATGTGAAGACCGCCGGTAAGGTTATGGCGTTCTTCTGTCGGCAAGTGAAATTATACATCCTAACCTGACCAGTCTGTGGGGACAGCACTAGCCATGCGGAACCAAATCTCTCTGTCTACTCCGATGGTAACACAGATAGCAGTGGCATTATTTTAGTAGTTGTACTGGTACTTGAAGGATGATGTGGTAAATATTTCACTAGCCATTATTCACTACCTTTTACAATTCCTGCTCCTTATTTTAGTCCAGATGGACAGGGATGTCAATGTCAGTTACAGCAACAACAAAATATAGCCAGTTAGTGATTTTCAAATCCTTCGAAGAGGGAGAGAGCAGTAGTCGGTGGAAGAGGGGAGGGGAGGGGGGTAATGACTTAAATTTAAGAGAACTTAAAGAGCTTTACATGTGATTTTCAAGTTCTCATTACCTAATTTGTTTATATTTTACTAACGCTACCTCCGCTTTTCTATTTTTTACGACTTACTTTGTTATTTACAAGTACAGTTGTAGCTTTACTTCCGTCTCCTATAAAAATACAAACAGCTTTAGCATGTGATAACCAAATAACCACTTTTGTTACTGTGCTAATAACACTATTTAAACGACCACTAATATAAAGACACAATTATATGGTGCGTGTTCTAAAGTTGGAAAAACAGACTATCTATCTATATATCTATATATATATATATATATATATAAATCAATGTTCTTCATTAGACAGGTGCGATTTCCATTGTCTTTCTTTTCTAAAAACCTTTGATGAGGGAGAGGGTACTAGGTGGATTTAGTTGTGGGGGGTGGGGGGGGGGGGTGGGGGGGGGGGGGAATCAAAGACTATCTCAAATTACGCCACAGCAAACGCGTGGCCCGGGTACAGCTAGTATATATATATATATATATATATATATATATATATATATATATATATATATATATATATATATATATATATACATACACACACACATACATACATACACACACAGACACTTACATCCATACATACATACATACATACATACATACATACATACATACATACATACATACATACAATACACATACATAGACCGACCGACCGACCGACCGACCGACCGACCGACCGACCGACCGACCGACCGACCGACCGACCGACCGACCGACCGACCGACCGACCGACCGACCGACCGACCGACCGACCGACCGACCGACCGACCGACCGACCGACCGACCGACCGACCCGACCGACCGACCGACCGACCGACCGACCGACCGACCGACCGACCGACCGACCGACCGACCGACCGACCGACCGACCGACCGACCGACCGACCGACCGACAGACAGACAGACAGACAGACAGACATTCGTATATGTGTGTGTTAGTATGTTCATGTAAGTGTTGTTTGTTTGTTTGACTGAGTGTACTGGAAAGCACACTATTTTTGTAAAAGCAAGTCTACGACAAGTCTTTTGTATTTTATGAGAACATTAATAGAGCATTCGATAGAAGATAGAAGGAAACAAAACTCAACGTCTTAGTTTTGAAGTGAAAGGGAAGTTGTTGTTATAGATCTTGCGGGGCATGAGATTTCGGCCTCTGGCCCTGGAATGAACCTTGGTTTGACTTGGAATGAACCTTGTTTGGCTTGGCTTGGAATGCACCTTGATTAGGTCGACGTCACTCGACATGCACCTTGTCTCACGACAAATCTGCTTTCGCCACGATTCACTCTCTGGATGTTAACTGCGATATAACTTGCACTGTTCTAACGTCTAGGGTTCAGAACATCACTCAAGCTTCCTTGTACATACTATCACTTTATCCAGCCACATTTGTTCCTCATGTTTCCACAATTATTCAGACTTCTGTCGCTCACGACAGATTCAAATACTGGTCACACGCTCGACATAGGGACTACATCTACTACTAATACAACCGTCTTCTATAACTTCTAATGATCAACTGACCACGCGTCTAGCTCGGGCTTCCCCTCGCTTACTCTACTAGCACCAAGTATTTCGTGCTGTCACTTGTTGCACGGACTTTCTACTTGCCACAATGTAATCGTGGAGACCATGCAAAGCAGGGTCAACACACTCTCCCCTCTTCTTAACAAAATGACACTATGGAACATCAAGTGTCATTTTCATTAAACCAGAGATAATAAATCAATTTAATTGTATTACTGCTAGGAATTATGGTTCCTGATTATCCTCAATTACTGCCTTTTAAAACTGCCTTCAATATTTACTGCATGCTTTTCCTAGTACTGAGCTGGTGAAGAGTTTAAACCATCTTTACACCTATTGCATCTGTAGTATTGTCTAGTCACTATACCTACTCTATCAGGTTCAAAGTGAAATGATGATAGTGAAGATGGCGATTGTCAGCTTTGAGATATTTACTACATAGAAAATTGGATTGAACCAATATTTTTACATCACCTTTCACAGGGTGTTTAACCCCAAGGACTCTTAGCCGATATGATAGTGGTAAGATATATTTATCATAGTGCTTCCGGTTTCCCAAAAGCCTCTATAACACCTTTTACAGGGTAATTACCCAACCCCAAGGAATCTACCACAGAAAAAAAAAAATGCATGTTGAGATATATTTTTCTTAGGCATAGTCTACTCCACCTTTCACATGTAGTGCAGTTTGCATATTTTCACAAGCTGTTCTTTTCCTCCATACAAGGTGTTCCTCTTGTCTGGTCTCGGAAGGAGTAGCATTCTTCTAGTCTGTCGTTAGGATCAGGGCTAGCCATGTATCTACCTCTCTTCCAGTATCTCCCATGGTCCATCTGTTCAGCCAAGTTTCTTTGTTTATTGCTCTTATAAGCGAAACAGAAGAAAACAAAGAAAAATGTCTGTTTAACACCTATTGAAGAGGCAAGAGATAATCACACAAATAACAGAAAAAGGCCAGGGAGGGGGTGGGGGATGGGTAGAGAACCGAGACAGTGGTACCTGCAGTCTGCTACTAAAAACCCTCAGGACAACAAATTATACTCTATGAGTATCTATTTAAAAAAAACTAATCCCAACAAAAGAGAATGTGTTATCTAACCTCAGGGAATGATTACTACATCGTAACACAAACAATCTGCGAGGCAAAGGACAATCTGACTAAGCTATCTATTTATCACGCTTCCCAGCTGTTTCCAGACCTGATGCGGCTGGGAACTCAAGCCACGGATACCCTTCGATTGAACTAGAATCAAGTTCACTTTGATTCTAACCAAAGCCGGAAAGACTGAGCTTGACCCTTTCCTTTTTTTTTCTTCTTGGCTGAGACTTGATGGTTTGATGACCGCAGCATTACAGAATCTAGCGGCAAAATGGTCAAGCCGTTTGCCTCGCACTCTGAAGGTCGTGGGTTCGTTTCACGGCGGCGGCGTTCAGTTCACGAGTGCAATTTTTACGGAGATTCGCGAAGATCGTCACCGGAGCTACGGGGTGCATGCTTTGTGGGATGCTCTCGGTGCAATACAATTTATCCAATTGACATTCCAGGATTTGATGCCTTACACCAGAACAGGTTCTGTGTAACATTTCAGTACTCTTTTTCTGATATTAAGTGAGAGTGTGCCGATGAAACAGTACAGGCTGCAAACAATCAAATGGCCACATTTAGTGGTTGCTGTAATTATTTCTTCTCTAAAATGTTCAAAACATCCCAAATCTTTCTAACTTTTTTATCCAAGAACTGTTCTGGTTTCATTTACCTCTCGATGAATTTTATCTAATTTTTTTTTAAATCTTCTTTGTAATTTTTTCCCTCTCTTCGACTTTGCATTATCCAAAGAAACCACATTTCTATTACCAAAATATATTTTTCAGTCTCCCTGTTTCATATCAGCCAATCAGCCAGACAGAGGTCTGGTTCTCGACAGTAGATCTGCAACACTTTATATCGTTCTGGATGTGCACTCTTTCAGACGGCTGCTCGTCCATCTCCTGTTACACCCCTCCCTCCCTTTTCTGACACACACGCACACCAAATCTCTTGTCATTGCTGTCATGTGTATTTTTTTGCTGTCTTTCAACGAAATACGGATCTTATTATGCAAGCATACTGTGCATGCTGTCTACTTACTAAATTAGGTGTTATAAATCCTTCTTATTTTCTGCTAGAAACATTGCGTCGTCAGCAGACGCTTTATCGTGTATTGTTATGACATTTATATTAAGTGCATTTCTCCAACCTTTTTAAAACAAGATCTGTTTCTGTATCTGATGGTTGCCATGGCCATGTTAGTAGCCGTGGTAAACACCTTTACTGAAGGTCTACCTGCTTTCTTCTTCTCTTTAGTAAAGTGTGAGATTCAGCTACTGTCACCATTGACGATCAATAAGTTCTGTTTGGAAAGGCTTGGTATCGCCTGCAATCCTGTGTGGCTGAGTAATATTTAGCCAATTTGAGATGTATTTCTGAATTTTTGGGCTTCGATATCCTGATCACTAATTCACTAACTCGAGTATGCATATTATCCAATATCCCCTGTTATCCAAGTGTATACTTGAGTATAAGCTTGAGTGATTTTGACATCAAAAGACCTGCGAAGTACTGTAATGCTGATATTCTACCTGATAATTGCAAGTATCCTTCAATGGTTGTGCTCATTACAGAAGTCAAATAATGGCTACACTTCCTTGGTGATTTTCTCCCCCCTATGATAATTCATCGCTTCTGTCCTTTTTCGCCAGCTCGCACACAATCTCTAGCTGCTGATGTTAGGTCTTGTCATTTCTTGTATTAATGAAAGATTCGTCCACGCTATTGGAGCATTGGACATATGGTACTAACCCGAATCTGTACAGACCAATCGACATTTGGTGTACTTTTCAGTGTTTATTGTGCTTGTACTTTAGTTGGTGTAGATATGTGTCTATATAATGGCAAACCAATGGTCTGGAGACACCACGTACACACGGCTGTCACTGTAGGGTGACAACCTCCTCTGAGAACAAGTCTATCCCTAATGTTTTATAAATGTAGAACAGCTGTTCACCCCCCACCCCCTTTTTTTTTTTGCATTCAGTCCGTTTTCACATCAAAGTATGTGAACAATTAAAAAGATCAGCCAATCCCAATGCATGCACAGTGTAAGAGATTAAAGAATAAAATATATATATATGAATAAGCTATTATTTTTTAATGTATGTTTTATTTATACTAGTTTCGTTAAAAATGAGTCTTGAAAGAGAAGGAAAGATTAATGAGGCACTCATGAACACTGGCGATCAATTACACACCAATGCACAATGCGAGATGAACAGTTAATCGGACAATGGTGAACATTAGAAAATCAAGGATACATTTATGGAGCCTAGGAGATCAACGGAACACTTATGAACACTGGCAGATCAACGTAACACTGGCGAATATTGGAAGATCAGTAAGACAATGATAGTCAGTGGGACCACAGGAACAAGACAATGACGAACATTGGTGGATACATAAGTCAGTGATAGTCATTGGGAGATCAACAAGACAATAAAGGTCATTGAAAGATCAATGAGACAATAATAGTCATTGGGAGTTCAAGAAAACAATAATGGTCATTGAAAGATCAACGAGACAATAATAATCATTGGGAGTTCAAGAAAACAATAATTATCATTGAGATATCAACGAAACAATAATGGTCTGTGAGAGATCAACGAGACAGTAATGGTCAGTGAGAGATAAGACAAGATACTAATGTTTCTTGGGTGATCAAAGAGACAATAATAGTCACTGAGAGATCAAAAAGACAATAATGATCATTGAGAGATCAACGAGACAATAATGCCAATTGAACGATGATAGAGACAATAACGCCCACTGGGCAATCAACTAGACAATACTACTCATTGAGAGACCAATGAGACAAAAATACTCACTGGGAGATCAACGAGACAATAATAGTCTTTGGGAGACTAACGAGGCAAAAGTGGTCCCTGTGAGATGAACGAGACAATAAAAGTCTTAGGGAGATCAACGAAATAATAAAGGTCATTGGGAGACCAACAAGACAGCATTGGTCATTTGGTGATCGAGACAATAATGGCTACTGGGAGATCAGCTAGACATTAGTGTTGATTGATTGGGATTGTCAAAATGGCATTGATGATCTTTGTGAGATCAAAGAGATAGTGACAGCCTTTGGGAGATCAAAGAGACATTGATGGTCATTGGAAGATCAACAAGACACTGACAAATATTGGGAGATAAATGAGACAATAATTGTCAGTGAGAGATTAACGAGACGCTGATGGGAAATAAGAAATCAAGGGGACGGTGATTTAGGCCCATTGTGAAATCAAAAAAAAAAAAAAAAAAACAATTCAACATACTTGAATGACGTTAGAGGGACAAAATGAAAATGAACAAGATTTTAGAGGATGGGTTTTTGCATTACCTGCTCCTTAAAGACAGAAATAGAAATTAAAAAGATTATAGCTCGGCATGGATTTATTTTTATACTTTTCTCCAGAAATGGTAATGCATTTCTTTTAAACATATATTGAGAGTCAAACAGTGCAAACAGGCAAACAACAAGAGCTGTCTGTGTTTTAAATACATTCGTTTGTTTTATCGGCTCTTTCTGGCAGTACAATCAATAGTTCGTATGTCAAATGTACAGCTTCAATTTTGTATTAAAGTACATGCTGGTACACTCCAGTATTTGATTATCAGTCTCCCCACTTCCCACCCCCCCCCCCACCCACACACCTTTTTTATCTACAAACTGTGTTGTATTCAGTTGTTGTTTTTTCTCGCTAAAATAATCTCCATCATGTTGTTGATTTGAACATGATTCTGTATAAACAGTCTAATTTCTATGAATTTAATAAATTCTCGCTTGTGAATACCAATAATCTGTTTTATGAACGATATATAGAGCATTCTTCTTTTTGCGATTGCATATCTTCTTTGTAGTTGCGTGCGTGATAGTTATTTAGTTGTTACGGCTCCGGCATCACAGCAAACAAGCTTCTTAGCCTATAACTGCTCAACCGCCTATGCCAGTGATTCAAGTCACAAACTGAGTCAGATACGCTGGATACTTCAAGTGAATGCCGTAACCATACAAAGTACACTCAGTCAGCAAAACACATACGATTTGATCTGGCAAACCATAAGTTGCATGCCCCCTTAAAATACACTGCGAGACCAATCATCAACGCAGAAAATCAGCTTCATTAGACGAATAGCTGGGCGATGAGTAGATTAAAACTATTCCTGACCATTCTCCACATGTCCTGGGCCAAGTTGCAACCACGGCCAGCAAATAAATAGCAGCTATAGCACAAGCCTTTTCCCAGGAACGCTACGAAGAAAAATACATCACCCTTCATTGCCATTATGTACGAATCTGGAATACAGTTAATAACCGATAATCACAGCTCATAGTGCCGACAGGAGCACTAAACTCAGTAGCTCCGGCTGCAAACCGGACTTCCACAATCTTGCAACATCGAAACTGGAGGAGAAACAGCGACGAGAGGGGTCGACATAGGCCAATTTCTCAACCGTCATCCATTCCCTATCAATGTCGAAACCGAAAATGTGTGCGCGTGCTCGCGCGTGTGTGTATGTGTGTGTGCGTATGTGTGTGTGCGTATGTGTGGTGTGTGTGTATACACTCGTGACTATGTCATTGTTTCCGAGAATGTTACAAATAAAATGGCTGCCTATGATTTATATGTGTTCGTAGTTTCTCTTACACACACTAAACAATGAAAGCGCACTAAACTCGGAATTATAGTTACTGAAATTGGCTTTTACACATTGTCGGCGTCTGTAGCTAGGCGTTGCGAACCCGCTTCGTAATGCCGAAGTGCGTGGTTCGATCTCTGCTGCAAACGGTTTGTCTTGCGTTGGTTTCGACAATGGTACCGAGAGCATTGGCAAATTACTGAACGCTTAGAAAAACCACAACATCCGGAGAAATACAACGTCCTGTAAAGAATCCGCAACTAACCTTTTTAACACATTATATTTTTCTCTCTTTATTACCTTAAAGCATTTTTTTTCCTAGTGATGTGTTGTGATTTAATTTGCATTTTATTAAAAAATGCCATAACGTGGAAAGTATCTGGACAACTGAAGCATAGGTGAATACAACCAACAACACTAATGACAAAGATCTGATAACTTTCACTAACCCACGGACAGTAGAACAAAGTTTATAATTCACTCAATGTTCCAGATGTTTACATTATTTTAATAGAATAATCAGACATTTGTTTTTAGCAGCTATGACAATGGCAGCTGTTTCAGAAAACAAAAATATGCGATAAATTTACCAAAATGATTCTACTGGATGATGCTGTTGTTTATCTTAAAATTGGCCAAGTAGATACAGGTTTGAAAACACCACCAGCTTAGGCAAAACAAGGAGCCACAAGGAGCCACAGCAAGTATGCCTGTTTGCCTGTTGATTAAGTCTTCGAAACGTTCCTATGTGATTGCTTATCCACTGAACTGGCTCGCAGTTTGACCGATTCAAAATGGCACCAGTAAAATATTATAATTAATAAAAGCAGTCGTTGAAATATTAACCAACTTATTGTGTAGAGAAATAGCATCAGTGATCACTTCATAGCATCTCTGAAACAAACACATTTAGAAATAACTGAATCCAGTTATAAAACAAATACAATATTGCGTGTGGTGTTGACAAGCCATCTACTAAAGCATATTCCAGAGAACACATTAAGGCGAACATAAGTAAAAGAGAATGAAAAAAAGAAAACACACGATACAAATCAAAAGTGCCATTACGGAGAAGACAACCTAAGTTTGTAATCAATACTTAGCAAACACGAGTGTGTGCGTGCGTATGTGTGTGTGTGTGTAAAGAGATAAAGAGAATTACAGACACACACGCACACATACAGAGAAGAGAGAGAGAGAGAGAGAGAGAGAGAGAGAGAGAGAGAGAGAGAGAGAGAGCCAGAACCCTTGTTCCATTAGGTTTTAGATGATCTAAATATGCGGACACAGAATATAGATTGCAGAATTTGTAGCCTAGCATGTTTCTCTGACTGGAATCAGCTGCATTACTACAACGTTACAAGGACCATCCAGATGAAACGAACACGGAATGCTACAAATAATCCAGATGATTTACTCAGAACTATATGCCAGGCAATAAATATATTGTCCAATGCACTGTTTTTGTCCGCAGTGTTTAGATTCACTAGGAATAACATTTTTTAAAATAAATTAGAGTAGATCCTTTTCTTTTTTAAATGAAACCAACAATTGCAGTCGAGCCGATAGAAAAAAAAAAATGAATTAACACACTGTGACTTGGTAGCTCAATGAGACGGAAGGGAGGCTCGCACAGAAACAGTCGCTTGGTCTAAAGTAACTATCAGTCTATGCAAAACTGTTTGCTGGGCCCCACACTCACACACACACACCCACACCCACACACGCGCACACCCTCCCCCCCCCCCCAACACACACACACACACAGGCCTGTTATCAAATCTAAGAATACAGTCATTCCTACGCCACCAGTGTAAATGCCAAATCTAATTGTATTTACTAATTTCAACGCACTTGCATTGTTGCATATGTAGGCAGAACTGATCGACGATTGGAGAAATGGGTGGCCGAACATTTTCCACTATGAGTGATTTTTGTTTGTTTTAGTATCCAGAAGCCATGAGTTGTTAACCCTTAGGCTCGGTATTATGGTTGATTATTATTATTATTGATTCCATTGTAAATACCATAAATCTGGGAGAAATTTGGCTTCTCTGCCTACCCCCCAGGGAGTGAACCCGGACCACAAGGAGTTTGTCACCCGGTCACAGCGCAATCTAGTTTAGCCAACTACTCTAGAGAGCCGGGCCTATGAGTGATAAAAGTAATGCAAAATACTAACAACAAAAATAACAACAACTCAGCAATAACGAATCATGTTACTGGTCCACGCACACAAAATGCTCCTGTCAGCCATTGTATGCCATATTTTGAATTTTGGGCATATTGTAAACAGGGAAGATGCATTTAGAATTATTTACACTTCAGCCAACCGCAGTTTATTGAGATTATTGAAAGTATCTGATTTAAACATGTTTAAACCAGAAAAATGCGGTCAAAAGGACATTGTATTCACACTGCGTTTACCTTGGTAAAATTATGCGGTCAAAAGGACATTGTATTCACATTGCGTTTACCTTGGTAAAATTATGCGGTCAAACGGACATTGTATTCACATTGTGTTTACCTTTGTAAAATTATGCGGTCAAAAGGACATTGTATTCACATTGCGTTTACTTTGGTAAAATAGACCATTTTTGAATATAGTCGATTTTGTGTTCGAAGGATTTTTTTATTTGCCTCTGTTTAATAAGTTGTTGGTGTAATATGCACCTTACAAGATACGACGAAATATGTCAGGCAAAAAATTGCGCATTCTATTGTTTGTGTCTTTTTTGCTGATGTGTAAACACTGTTTGATATAGTATCAAGTTAGCAGCTATCACTCATTGCTTTTTGCCATTGCAGGTTGATTAGGAGAACTAATTATAAGGAACTTACAAAAACAATTATAGTCTGTTAGTGCCGTGTGTCAATGTTCAAACAATCGCTAACGTACTTAATTATAACTTCATGGCTACCCATAATCATATCATCAGCATGAGGTATAACCATGTTTAAAACACTTACTGTTTAAGTCTCATACAAATGAGCCAATATGAAACAAACCTGACTATTAAAGAGGACACTCTGGCTGGTGCGTGAGTTAGAAGGTTGATCAACAGTCGCATGCCTTGCAGCTGTACCGAGGAGTCTGGCGATTTTAAGCAGTATTTAACAACATCTGGAATGGTGTTTATCTGTTGGATGGGAAAAACGTAGAGCTATGTGAGAGAGATCTAAACATATTAACTGTCTAATTTTGTATCATATTAAGGTGCTTTGACATGATCAATGGACAAGCATTGAAAGATTCACCGACATGAAAAGAAATCTTTCACTACATTGAAACATTTCGAAGGGTTTATCAAAATGCGTTTTCTTTCTGTCTGTGCAGTGATCTGCATTGTTATTAATTGCTGGCTCGAATGAGTCACCGCATCTTTCCATTCACCAACTGACAAGAACGAGAAAACATGGACGCTGGCAGACGTTCAGAATTTACACGTACCATTTATTTTCACTCGCTGATGTTGTAGTCAGTAAATGTTCATACACAACCGTAGCACTCAACCATTACTTATTCAATGATCTAAACAGTCAGTCATACCTTTGTAACATCGTAGCATTCACACAACTTAGCGAAACACAGTAATTCCATCCATCCAGGCGACAGTCATTCACAGCTGGCCACCGTTTCCGTCAGCCGCTATTTTATGCCAGGTAGGCATTGGGAAATCACGCTATTCAGACGCCAACTTTCTTCCGGGCTTCATCTTCTGACATACACATTCCCTTGGCCTAAACGAGACTGTCTCACAAACCTTTCTTCGCTATTATATAGCCCTCTGATCTGTCATGTTCTCGAATATTCCGGATAATTTCATTCTAACTAATTCCCCACCGTTGAAAGTCGTGTCTGGCCCGTGATAATTCGCATTTCACACGAATCCTGCCAGTCAACCTTCATGGTTCACGTGAACAATCATGTTTCACATAAAACCTGACTTTCAGATGTCTCTCATGAAACTCAAGACATAAATCTCGTGTTATCTCAGTCAGTCAAAACATTCGCCTTACATTTATTACTGACGTCATCTATCGGGCATAACTTAATGGGGAGAAAATGACTCACTACAGTCTGTATGTTCGTCGGTCTGTCTATCTGTCTGTGTCTACTGCTGCTTATTTTATTTGTATTAAATGCTCCAAATTGCACCTTAAAGTTTTAACCACCCCCTCACCTCCCAGGACCATCCCAGCGCCCTCAGTTGTGATCCAGATAGCTACCAGCCTCCTTGGATGTCATGGCACCTGCGGGGGGGGGGGGGGGCCTTAGCGCCCACTTTGGAAAACACTGCATTAAATGTTCAATGTGATTGTGAACGAGCAACACTTACCAGGATGTTAGTATTTTGTTTGTGCTGTGAGAAATTTGCCAGTGCTCGGGTTAAGTGACACAAAAGCTCTGTGTTTGCGTCTGCTTGTGGCAATTTTTGACAAACAGTCCAAAGAAGTTCTTGTAATTCATTCTGAAAGATGGCAGTCACATGATAATCTAAACTCACAGTGCAAATAAATGTTTAATCACATTCAGTGTATTGGACATAGCTACATACATTTGCAGCTGAATGATCAGAACGGTGACTTCAGCTTTATTTATTATAATCGTCATCATCGTCATCATCATCATCATCATCATCATCATCATTATAAACAACTCCTGTCGGGGGATGAATAATTTGCGATCGAGTGCACGCTCGCTAGCACTGCCTCTTTTCATGTTGTCAAGACATAAAGTGTCTAATGTTGTCTATCAATTTTTCGTGTCAGTCCTCTCGTTCTTGTCTTTGATCTTCTGAAATGTAAGCTTCTGATGGTATTCATTGTTGCTTTATTCTAACAATATAGCCAGACCACTTAATCTGCTTTTCCTCATTGAACCTATTTATCCCATGCTGAGATGGCGGTTATTAAAATTCGTGGAAGCGGTCGCAATTAAAATGGACTTTGTAAACAAAAAGATTACTTTGTTAGCCATAGGTTTACGTGGTCATCAAGCCGTTAAAGCTTAAACTGCCGTTGGTGAGATACATGTGCACATGAATAGAATACATTCTTGTCACGGAGTGAACAACCAAACCCTACACTTTGGACTAGTCGTGACGTTGACGCCCCTAGCGGGCAGGTCACATTTCAAATTTAAACCCGTCCGGTGGGTATATTATCCCTCATATTGATATATACCTCTATCTGATGGAATAAATATTTCTAGACCCTCTAGTTGTTTTGAGAAGTCTACATTTTCAAACTTGCAACTGTGGGATAGATATTTTCTGGAATAATATTCCGAATTCCTGAAAGCCTTTTTACTCCTTGGGGCACTAATACAGGTCTTTTTTTTTCTAGAGGCGCCAAGCAAAATCTGGTGGGGTCATTCTTTGCCAGACCTCTGAGGCGTCTAGACGTATTTCAACTCTCTGATTAAATCTTGGCGCAACCAAAATACCAGTTTAATCTTTGAAGGATTCCTAAGTTTGGGTAAGTTGACTATAGTTTACGAGTACCATAAAATATGTCTCTATAAAGTTAGCCGCTGCTACAGGGAGGGAAGATTCCGCTGTGTGACCGCACAGAACCAGGCCTTTCTTGGTGTCCAGACACTCAAGCCCCTGAAATCAAACCTTTCCCTTCGCAGGCTAATAGTTTGTGCTCTACATGACCAACACCATTATAAAGATATTAAAACCTGCAAGTTAATTATTCTCTGACCAGACAACAAAGTTTGTGTCGACTAGAAGACATATTTAACTGGGTCGCACGTCGGCCAGCTAGGCGCTCTGAGTCAGAGGTTATTTTTAGCACAACAACATCGGGCGTGCAGTGGGCAGATTGAGAAGGTATAAAATGTGTATGTAAGAACGGGAAAGAATGTATGTCTGCGGGTGCAGATGGGAGGGGGAGAGAGGATGATCTATGTGTAGTAGTGTCTATCTATCTCCCCTATGTACCATGTCTCCCATCTCTTGTACTGACTTACAGACATATAAATGAAGGGGAAATTGTCTCCTGTTCTTGAGAGTTATCTTCTGAGTGACTGAGAAGGGTAGAGGGAAATAAATTGAGCTTGGTATGTGAATCTGAAGATGAATACTAATTCTGAGTTCTTTCCTGACAGGATGATACCTGCTTAGAAGTCAGGCAAACGAGTCACAGTCCAGCCAACAATCACCAACCCATACCATCCCTATCACTAAACCTACCCAAAATCCTACCGATTGTTACCACAACTTCAACAAGACAGGAGCTTGTGTGTGAGTTCCAGTGGCTGAGAGACAGTTGTTGCAGGCCACCTGTGTCATCACTCTAAGGAAGCCTTCTGGGGGAGCTTTGTTGGGCTCCAGCACAATTCCTTTGTTCTCATATAGGAAGAGTGTCAGTGCTTACCAGATCAACCAGAGGAAAAGCAGTCCAATGAGTCAGCCTGTTCAAATCACCAAGTACTGAGGGGAGCAGTGACCTACCAAATTGGATAAGTAACATCTGAGATGACATACCTCATGCTCTATTGTCAGGTCTACCCATCGGCACAGTGATGACCACTGAACTTTCTGACATTTATGTGGCTGTTTCAACATCATGTCTTCGACGTTAGTTCCCGAAATCCAGTCACCGGGAACCATTTTGATTGTCTTGATATATATATATATATATATATATATATATATATATATATATATATATATATATATATGTGTGTGTGTGTGTGTGTGTGTTTTAACTATTACATCCATTCAGAATTTTCATGGCTTACTTGGGTGTCCCTGATTCACTCTCCTAAATGTCTTGCTTTTATGTTTGTGTGATTAGTAAGTGTAATCTGTGTTAACTTGGCTGTGATAGTACACTATCATAGCCTGGGCGCTATCTTTTTTATAGTAGTGGGGGTGTCCAGCCAAGTTGTGCCTAGGATTACTAGATATTCTGTAGTGCCAGAACTTGAGTTGCCCTACTCCTGAAATAAGTTGAGCGTATATTGGCCACGGGATATCCCCTAGACCAATACGAGCCGACGCCTCAACATTATTTATTTCAGAGTGCTCTCGGTTCTTAAGGAGAAATCCTTAAACCAGGCACGCGACACTAGCTGTATGTGACAATTCTTAGTATCCAAACTCACGTGTTTAAGCCTAATTTCAAGCTACGTAATTAATTAACCAAGTTGTTTGGTCAGTGGACACATATAAAAGTAGAAGAAAAAAGAAAGAAGACGACGACGATCAGGACGTGACGCAGAACATTAACATTCATAGTATCAGTAACACGTTTCTTAGCAATGTTTTATTATGCTATAGACAAAAGCGCGTTTTGATATTTTACTGTTTATAACATTTACAGATGTAAACTATACATGATTCTAGAAGAATTTAGTTTACAAGGTAACATTTTGGGTAGTATTATGACTCTTAATAAAAACGGTTATTATACAAATACAAGCAAGGCGAGGAATGACAGACGGGTTTCCAGTCAGATCATGACACGATCTCTGACAGCCTACACGAAACGTTACCTGGTCTTGTGCACTGGTTGCTAAATTTGCAGTCAAACAGGCAGCGTTACACAGAATTTGAGGATTGATTGGGCTGCTCTTTAAAGCTGTTTGTAAACAGTGGCCAGTGCTTGAATCTTCCTGGAAAAGAGTTGAGCTTATCGGAGAACGTGACAGTTAGGGATGCAAACAAGTGAAATTAGCCTTGCATGGTTGCTACAGATAATACATTTCACAACTACATCAACGTAATTATATATATATATATATATATATATATATATATATATATATATATATATATATATATATAAAGATATACATATATAAATAAATATGTTAACACAAAATATGACACGTAACAGCACTGGATGTTTAAAATCAAAAAGTGGTCACTTATTAATTGGACATTGTAATATAATTAACAGATGGACAGAGTATATAGTGGAATTGTATGATGATAATAGACCAGATGTAGAACTGCAGACCAGCAATGATGGTCCACCAATAATGACTGCAGAGGTTTAGGATGCATTACATCATATAAAGAAAGGAAAAGCACCCGGGCCATACAACATCTCACAGGAAAAAATCGAAGCACTGGGATATTTTGGAATTGAAATAATAACTAAACTTTTAAATGATATTTATTATAGTGGTTATATTCCAAATGACCTTTTAAAATCCATATTTATAGCTCTGCCAAAGAAACCAGGCACTTTAAAATGTGAAGACCATTGCCCAAAAAGTCCTATGAGTCACATGACTAAGATTTTACTGAGAATAATTATGAGAAGAATAAGAAACAAAATTAAACCAGAAATCAGCGATGAACTATGTGGATTTGAAGAAGGAAAAGGTACAAACAATGCCATATACATCCTAAGGACATTGTCAGAAAGAGCTCCAAAGTAAACACTGATTTGTACTTATGCTTCATAGACTATACAAAAGCATTTTACTGTGTGATGCATGACGAAGTAATCAAACTGTTAGAAAAATTAAACATTGATGGAAAACATCTACGAATAATAAATAATATGTATTGGCAGCAAACAATAGCTATAAGAATTCACAACTGTTTAGGTATTCAAAGCATAAAGAGGGGCGTACGACAAGGATGTGCACTGTCACCTGATATGTTTTCAATATACAGTGAATATATAATGAGATCTTTTGATATGCCTGGAATTGTGGTTGGTGGGCACAATATAAACAATTTACGTTATGCTGTTGACACAGTCTTGATAGCAACAAGCCAGAAAGAACTACAGGAAATAATAGACATTGTGGTGCTAGAAAGTGGAAGAATGGGCCTCAGTTTAAATAATGGGAAGACAGAGGTAATGGTGGCATCAAAGAATTATTCCTAAATGTATAATGGTGTTTTTTTTGGGACAAGTACAGAAATATAAGTATCTAGGCAATTGGATAACATCGGATAAAAGACCCATTACTGAGATAAGAAACAGAATAGGACAGGAACAAACTGAACTTATAAAATGAAAAACATCTTGTGCGATGTATCCTTGTCATTGAGAGTTGTGTGCATCCTTTTTGGTCCTTCTCCAGCATTCCACTCCATAAAGAAGAACTGGCAAAATGATGCTCTTGTAGAGTCGGAGTTTCGTTCCTCTGTAGTAATTGTTGGATTTCCAGATTTGCCTCATCCTTCCAAAAGCAGCTCTAGCGTTGTTCAGATGTGACTGTATGCCCTTTCGGTCCCTCCTGGCAGGAACACCACACTGCCAAGACATGTGAAATGTTCTACATTTTCAAGAGTTTGGTTATTTATGATCACTTATTGTTGGTTTGGACTGTTTGTCATGATCTTAGTTTTCTTTGTATTTATTCTCAGTCCCACCATTTCTGCTGTGCTGTGTAGTCTGTTACTTTTGTCTTGTATATGTTCATGTTTATGTGATAGAAGTTCTATATCATCTGCAAAATCAAGGTCCTCAAGCATGGTGAATGGAGTCCATAGTATGCCTCTCAATGTCCTGTCTACGGTGTTCTTTAGTATCTAACCAATCACAAGGCTGAAGAGGAGAGATGACATAACACATCCCTGTCTTTCACCTGTCTTTACTGGGAGAGATGTACTGTAATTTTTATACTGCAGGAAAAGTCTTTATAGAAGAGAGCAATTATGTTGACTATTTTTCTGGAATTCCATAATGTCGTAAAATTTTCCATAGACTGTCTCTATGGACGCTGTCAAGCCATCATTATTAGGATTTTGTTATCTCAAGGCGTAAAATCTTCATTTAGCAACCAGAGGGAATTACCGAAAGGATGGAAAGAAGGAAGGATGTCTTTATGGACATTAACCTGTTGCCCTTACTAGATAGGGAAGATTGGTAAGCGGCAGTTTCCATGGCTCACCCCAACCCAAAGGGAAAGCTACCCATGCGCTGGAAATTGAAAATTGTCCAGTGACATGATTCTTTTATTTTAGCTGATAAATGTAAATAAATGATTTCTCCTCCAGCCTCTTTTCTTATAATCCGGTAGTTAACGAACCAGCAGTTTTAGCTTAGAAATTAAAAATATTGAAAAAGGTTCCTGGGCTCTATACGGGAAAACAAAGAATACAAGAACCCCCCCCCCCCTAAAAATAGCATGTCGTAGGAGGCTACTAATTAAAGGTTTTTCCTTCGAAATTGGGGTACATCCGCCTGAGAGGCAGAAAATCAACAGTTTGCACACAAAGAAATTTGAAAATCTGTCAAACGGGTGTGCACTCAAAGCTTAAGTTTGTATCAAACAACCATAAATTTCCACTGGAGTTTACAGCCGGTAAACGCTAAGAAGGAAAAGAATATTTACTGCGTGTGGTTCTTTTAAATACAAAGTGACCCTAGCTTGTGCAGCGAAGTTCGTGCACTGATTATCTGTGTGTGGTCTAGGGAGGTCTAAAAAGATCTGAGCATCAAGGAAGATTGGCTAATAAACAGCATCCTGTCTCGAAAGCTGAACTATTTTGGTCATATCAAGCGCCACGAGGGTTTGGAAAAAATTATAGCAGAAGGCATGGTACCAGGAAGGACGGGCAGGGGCCGATCGACACGAAGATGGGCACAGGATATAAGTGACTCCTTGAGTGTCAAAGTGCTTGAGGCGGGAGAACTGGCGAGAGACCGAGTTTCTTTCAGGCAGACTGTGACGAGAGCGACGTTCTGCAAAGGACCTGCTACATAATGATGATGATGATAATGATGGTCCAGGGAGGAGACTGGAGCACCTGTTGGGTATGTCTGTGTGGAATGAAAGTACGCATTACAAATTAAACAATGTAGAGTAAGAGAGAGAGACAGAGAGAGAGACAGAAAGAAAGAGAGAGAGAGAGAGAGAGATGGGGGGGGGGGGAAGCTCGGTGATCTCAGAAGACACTCACCTGTACCAGCCGATGTCTGTACTCGTCTAGGCCCGTGGATAAATACGCTAACGTTTTAAGAGCGACCTCCTGAAGCTTGAGCGGAGTAAATGGAAATGAGCCGGATAAATAGACAAAATAAAACAAAAGTATATTTTATTTTTCGCCCACAATATTTCAACTGTAACCATGTTTTGTCATCAAAATGGACTAATAATGTTTGACAAATTCTGCATTATTATAAAGGTATTTTAATGAGCTTCAGCATACCGAGGTCTCTATGAATTGTTCCCACTACACTGGGCTATCTTTCTTTAGCATCTGTCAGTATAGCTTCCAAAACTTTCTCAATGTCTTATCGTCTCAAATCTCATCATTAAAATCCTACCATTTTGCTTTTTTTTTTTTTGGCCTCTGCTGCACCTTTTTCCTATCTTTCTTATCTCTTTCCGTGCATTCCAAATCCCCCTGTGAGTTTAGGGGTGTTTTTGCACTTTCTTTAAACGCTTTACTGCAGCCCTCTTTAAATGTATGTCTGTTCAAACTCATGTCTATCTTAGAGGCTGAACAGAAGTAGATCTGCCAGCTCTCTTACATCTCCTCTGTCGGAGGCGTCCAGGAAGAGTGTTTGTCCGCACATACTTGAATAATGAGCTTTTCAAACCTTGACTTTACTGGATTTGGAGATCCATACCGAACATGGCAGTCTTTTTGGTATCCCGTACTGTGACTGGGTAACACATGCCAGGTCAATAGCCGTATCTGCATCACCGGGCCTCACTGCCATTCTGGTTGGCCAGAGATAGGTGACTATAAAACATTTCGGCCAGTTGATAGATAGAGGGTTTGCGAGCCATCTCTTGGGCTCACTCCAGGCCACTTGTTCCAGGTTTAGATGGTTTAGACTTAGACGACGAATGAACATCGTGGCACAAGGGGGTAACCTATAAGTGCTCCGTTCTACTTTTGACTCAAGACTGAGTCCGAAGGTTCTCAGCGCAGTGCACGAACTCCGATTTAAAAGGCTGGTGTGCATGTTTTAACGGTGCTGGCTTAGTTGCGTTTGCGGATATATGTTTCTGTTAAGGAGCTGCCAACAAGATATTTGCTTTGACGGCAGTAAGCAAGGCCTATGCAACATCAGTGAGGAGAAATAATCGCTAAAAATGCACTTTTTTTTCAATTAGACTATCCCAACACATGGAGTTGCTAGTTTAGAGGTTATAGTTTTTAGTTTGTTACGACCAAATGCAAATAACTAGAGAACAAATGATACAATTGCCGAGATTATAAGAGAATAGTCTAGGACATACCACACGTGGCCGAGACTCAATAAAGTAATCAATATGGCAATCTCTAATCTCAATCCAAACAGACAACATTGACAACACCAACCTGTTCATCTGGTGCATTAGCCAGCTGTAAGAGGCGTGATACGGCGTTTTGTCTGTTGTCATAAATGGTGGTGTGTGTCGCCGGGAGTTCAGCTATGAGACCAAGTGTGGTGATGGATAAAAGAGAGATGGCAGTCTTGTTGGACCAGCACAAGCTTAGAACAGGCTGCAGGCCGCCATCGATTAAAACTAGACGATACAAAACTGATGATTTCAGAAGCAAGCATACACTTATATTACATTTTACTAAAGCATCTCCACAAAGAAGCACACACTAACTTAGTTGTTTTTACTGATAATAGTGAAAACTCGAACGTAAATACAAGTTCTGAATGATCTGATATTAGGGGCAATTGTACACTTTAAAAACCGAGGTGCATGATCATCTTTTAGCCCAGTATTTTTTGTGTCTGGCCTGGTATTCTCAATAAGAATGCTGGCTGCTTTATCGGTTGACAAAACAACAGATTAATAAACCGCTGATGAGATCAGCTTTGAAAGGAAGGGGGAATAAAACAGAGAAAAATATGAGCAATCAGTGTATTTGAATGTTTCTACGATCATGTATATGTTTTTGTTGTCTTACAAGGCATATACAAGAAGGTGATCCCCTACTGCCAGTTTGCTGTTTTTCTATTCCTAGAATCCCATGCCAGTTTACACTCCTTCTTTCTCTTTCTTCTGTCTCCTTGCAACTTTCCCTATGTCCTCACCCTCTCTCCCTCTCGCCCCCCCCCCCCCTTCCTTTTCTTTCCATATGTCCAGCACAGAGCTGTTCTTGTTCGAGCCATCTCCATTTTCGTTCTTTGCGTTAGATCCGCTTTCAATAACAAGCTACTTTATTGGTTTTTAGTTTGCTCTTCACAAGTCTGATCTAACTTGGTCAAACCTGCCCCGGGTACACGTTTCCGGTTGGCATGGCTCTGGCAATTATGAGAGCACACAAACAATCATCTCGCCACGGGAAAGCACTAGCACCAAGGGAGAGAAGTTTGTCTTACTGTTATTGTTTAATATCAGCTTGCCTGCAGTTCCATACTCATGGCTCCTCTGTAGGGTAATTTATCTTATCCGTTTTCAATTGCTATTGTCTCCTTATCTTGCCCCTTCCCCCCTTCTTCCTCCCTCCGTGTTGTCTCGTGAATCCCTTTGAGTCGCCTAGACGACTGATACGCAGTCACACAGGAAACACATTTTGCTGTTTTTAAATTGTTTCTTTCGCAAGCACTTCGGTTGCATCAGAATTGCCCGCTGTTCTACTCTGAAGTTTACTAAGAGGTTTCAGAAAGGCACACGACGTATTCACTGTGGTCCCATCTTACAGCATGATGACTGAACAAGCTCCTATTTTTTTTTTTTCGCTGCTTCCTCCAATGATCCATCGGAGTATATCTGTGTCCAATCGGGTTTGGGTAAGAGTTGTAGATATGCTCAAGGGTCTTTGCATGCAGTACTAAGACACATTCTTTAACCTTTCTACCTAAACCTTGTATTGTTGTTCTTGCTGTATAGTTAGATTGTAGGTCTATGTTGTTTGCTTTTCTGAGTTATGAGTTATGATTCGGGTTATCTTCACTGCACTCCGGCACGTCCATAGGTGCTAAGATTCCCCTTCAACATAAACATCAGCGTCCCGCAGTTGATGGTTCCAGTCCTATGTTGACAAGATTTCTCCTGTGTCCGGTGTGCTTCTCATGCCTGGCTGTGCTGCCGATCTTAACTCCCAATTCTTGCACTCTTAGCAAAGATGTAGATGTGCTGCTCCCAATGGCGTTAACAATGTCGGCATGGTCCATGGACCAGCAATCTGTAACTACAGCAGAGCCATCTAATCTGTCGGCTCTTTCATTGCAAACAACACCCGCATACCCTGGGACAAAGATGAATGTAACTCTACGCAAAGTGAAGTTTTGCTATGACTCGATCCACTGTCTGCGTACAAAACCCGCCACGACCAACTGGATTATACTCATGGAATCACTCAGCACATGCACGTGAGAATAGCCCTGCAATGCCAGCCACGTGAAAGCCCATGTTACAGCCATCATTCCATTGTTATGCTGTGAGTAGTCATACCGAAGGCATCACTTGCCTCCTGAACTGTTCTACCTGCAGAGCACGCAATAAATGCCCATTCACTTTTTGGTCCTCGTACACCGGCCCCATCTGTGTAGATCAGTACATCCGCATCCGCCTCCGCCTCATCTGAATATTCCTGTATAAGCGAGTGGACCTCTGCATTTATAGCAACTGGATTCTGCTCCCGACAGATCCTATCAAGCGTGACAACACTATTCTGTGCATGGGGTTATTGTTCATGCGTTTAAATTTTTCTGTTAGGGTAAGCACCTTTTCTTCAATGGTTTTGAGGTTTTGAACAACATATCAGCATTATGGCACACGGGTGGGACCCATAAGTGCTCCGTTCTTCGTCTAACTCAAGTGTGAGTCCGAAGAAACTCAGCACAGTGCACAGGCTCTCTAGTACCGGCGATGATCCTGAAATACTTTAGGTGGATTTTTAACTCAAAATTTCGCCTGGGCAGCGCTGTTAGGCTACTCTGTTTGATTTCCTACTGCCATGTGATGTTTTTTACGTGAGGAACAATGCTCACTGGCGACCGATCTCGCTACCCAGAGACCAGAGGGAATTACTAGAAGTCCAAGTCCCCGTGAAAAAATCCTATCTCTTACCGGGGATTGAACCCGAAACCTCTAGCACTCGATGTGGACACTAAGCCTCGAGACTACGTAGCCCCGCCTTTTCTTACCGTCGATGGCTCAAGCTCTGGAGACTAGAAGGGATTTCCAGCTCATTGATTGGTGTACTTCTCATAGCTCCAGTGATGATTCTAATTCCAGTGTTCTGTATCTAGTCCAGTTTGGTTTAGATGTGATCTTTGATATGAAGGCCGAAGTTAGTCTTTTGTCGAATCTTACTCCCAAATACGTAGAAGTTGTCCTCTTTTGTAAGGATGTTGACTTCTGTGTACAGATCCACTTGTTCTAGCTTTGTGTAACAAGAGAAAAGAGTCGAAAAGGTTTTGATGTTTTATCGAGACTCCCCAAAATCCTGTCTATTTCTTAACTGAATTTATAGTTTCTTACATTCTCATTTAAGTTGCTCCTGAATGTTTAGCTTGGGTCCATATGGCCAGGCTATCTGCATGTAAGGCCTTGTGAATGTGTGTCGTAAACTATTGGGGAGGTCATTGATGATAAAAATAAACAGGGTAGGCAATATAACACCTCAATAAAGGACACCTTCTTGTAGTCTGACCAGCTTTCTCTAGTGTTCTTCCAGTCTGACTCTTGTCCAGCGTCTGTAAAGAAAGTTCCCAATCTAGACAAACGTATGCCCTTTGTGTTAGTTTTAACACGAATCCTCTCTTCCAGACCTCGACAACGGATTTGGTCAAGTCGAAGATAATAGCGAGCGTATGTATTCCGGAAAGCAACGTCAATTTCTTTGTAATAACATGTCATTTGTTATTCGATGAGGTCCAGTGGCCTTCCTTTTCTTAAGTCTAAGTTCTTGGGGACTGAAGAGTGGAAATGGAAATATAATTGGAATTCAGGCAAGGAAAATACAAGGACAACAAAATCATCATATCAAAGAATTCACTGTTTTACCAACAGAAAAAAGAAAATCCCCACATGTAGCATTCCCAGTTAGTCACCTAATATGATTCTTAAATATGGACAATGAATAATACAGATGAAACACATAGGAATAATTTAAGATTTTGTAAAAAAAAAAAAAAAAAAAAATTGACAAATGAAAAAGATCTAGAGAACCTAAAAGAGCAAAGAAATCGTCATTTGGAGTTGTCACACTAAAGAAATGAGGAAACATTAAAAGGATTACGAAAATACAAGGTATTGGAAAGACGATAAAAGTAGTCAGCAAAGAAAAACAACTAAATGCGTGATAGAATGAACCTCTTTCTAATGGGTTTATTAAAAATGTATTTTTTTTTAAGTTAGGGACCCTTATCCACGCCTTTAGGCATGTAGGGCATATAGGGCTAGACCTTTATTTGTATAGAACAACGGCACAAGATGGGTGATGTGGTCAGCATCACGCCGGCCGCCTCTACTTCCCGGGACAGCAGCCGGTACCCACTCACCGCTGGGTAGACCTGGGAGCCAAGGTCATTTTTGAAGAAATGTCCGGCTCCACCAGGGAGCGAACCCACGACCTTCCAATTCGCGGCGCGTGTCTAGCCGCTTTGCCACGGCGACTCCCACAAATGTATTAACGATATAATAATGAGCGTGGAAGAATTGAACTAAACAACTGTTAGAAACCATAGATTTCATGACAGCGGTGATTCAAAGTTTCCAGAAGCATCTAAAGTTCTTTTTAAGGGACAGTATTTGTCTCCAGATTTGCATGCGTGCCTGGATGCCTTACAGCACAATCCTCTGTTGGATGCAGTAGCAGTGTTTAATTCCGCCAAACAATTCATGTGTCTTTTAAAGCCATTAAAGTGAGTCTTAGCAAGGCCTCATCAGATAGGCTTTGACAAACCATTGGATGCAGACATGCATGGTAATTTAGCAGCCCTGTACAGAAAACTGTGAAACAGTTACTACTAGAGCCTAGCATACTCGCTCATACCACCGTAGTCTATACACATCATTGAAGACAATGCAACAATAACCATTTGTATCCAACCTTTTGTTTTGAGGCTCTGATATTTGCAAAAAATCATCAAGGAACTGATCCCATCTATCGCTATCTGTTCCTGGGTGTCCCCAACGTGACTTAATATCCTGAAAGTAAAATTACAGAACCCTTTAGATGTTGCCCATGGACTGCTTAAAACTGGATTATTGAATATCGTTTTAGCGAGAAATGAATGTTACCATTGGAAATGGCTTTGCCA